AAATCAGATCACCATGAACATGAACCTTTTGCTTCTGTGTAAATACAAGAAAAACAAAAGTCAAGGAAAGACGATTAATAATCTATTAATTATTGCACAAGCATCTGTAATGGTCTTGAACATACTGATGCATTGCCAGCTAAATCACCCTCCTCTTCATCTTTAGTCTCGCACATCTCCACTCACTGTGCCACACAAAAAACACCCCAAACTCAAACATGACTTAATAGAGAAAAAACAGTCATCCCCATTTCCTGTCCAAATTTCTTCATACATCTCAATGTATATCATCAGAAAAAAGTATTTCTGAAATCTGTAGTTTATATATCTTTTCCCATGCTGTTGGYTTCTTAATCTGTGAGTACTTTGCTTAGTTCCATCATGGGTTCATTGTGCTGGTTATAAAGGCATGATGCTATGCCATGCTTGGCTTTGGAGAAAGCACTAATGCCTGCATTTTCAGTTTCCCAACWCTTGCTTGCAGCATAACTTTTTCTTTTAAGCGTCAGGGTTTACATCGCAGTGATCTCCAACTGTAGGAGAATGAAACTGAACTTCTGCATCTCAGTAAGAGAAAACTGTGTGGACACCTTCCTGACAGCCACTGAACCAATGTTAGGATAAGATGTTCCCCATGGTGCATCAAGAAGTGAGGCCATTCCCAGCAGAGGATGCCAGGGAAAAGTTGCTTCCCAGTTGCAGGAATATGTACAATAAGGATGCATCACAAGGGCAAACAGAGAAGAGCCTGGTTCTGTCTGTGGGTAGAATTCATGCTCAAATACATACAGATATATTTTTTTACATTCTCACAAATACTGATAGAGAGGAAAAAAGAGACTACTGGGGGCAGGGGTGAGATCTGAAGACAAAACATATCATTGGAGGGAGCAGTTCGCTTCTTGAAGGTCTCACACTCAYAAGAGAGACTTGTCTCCAAGTGCAGAGATGACTGTGATCGGGCATCCTGTATTTCATGCAAAACCTACTCTTGCAGAGCTCTTGCTTCCCATTYCCCCTGGGGCTGCAACAGGAAGTCCCAAACCCTGACTCTGGGAGATTCAAAGGCACAATTTTGCTGCTGAAGTCCCATCACAGCCCCTCTGGACACAGACTTCTGAGACACCAAACCTCAGTCTTCTTCTACTGAGCTTCTTCCTTTCCCAATCTCAGTCGGACATGGAAAGTAGCAAACTGATAAACAGTGTGTTGGAAGTTTCCAAACCACATTAAAGAGTAAGGACTTATCAACTGTCCTSAAAATCCGGACAATTTCCTTTTGTCTTAGACACCCACACAGTGAAGAGCTACTGGTTTCAGTCTTTGAAGCATCTGACAAAAAATAGCTTGTTTGTTATTGTTCGGATGTAAAAAAAAAACCCAACACCATAAAAAACCCTCTCAAATCTCCCCAGTGATAAATTTTTAGGGTTTTAAATATATTGTGTGCTTCTGGATATGGAGATCTTTACTGCACCACAGTCCAAGTCCTGATTTAGTCCAGCACAAACTGTAAATCCAGAAGATGCCAGCCCAGCCTGAAGGAGGTGTTCCAAATTTACACCAGCTGTAAGAGAATGAAATCCAGTTTTGTGTGGAGTATGTGAGCAAAACACCTGTCYGGTAAAACATCAGTAAGCTGTGTAAGTGATTTTCTTTATCAATATCAGAAGGTTTGAAGCTTTAATGCCATATACACATTTATTTTAGATCTGTATTATATAGCAATGTTTAACTTTTCTGCTTTATGTGAATACAGTCTGGAATTTTTTAGGGAGCCCTCTTTCTATGAGGGACCAGAAGAAGTAGGAAAGATGGTTTTTCTGAACTTTATTAACAACTCCAGCCCTAATCCTGAATTAGACCTTTCTGTTYGTGTCATTGTTTCAGCAAGTACTCAAATCAAATTGAAACATTAATATATGAACTTCTGTCTGAACAGCACTTYCAGAGAAGTCAGGTTAGTTATTGCAAGAAATTAACCTCAGCACTGATTAGATTTGACCTGGAATTCTTACTTCATTTTTTCCAGCTGACCATGAAATTGAAAAGTCCACTGGGGATTTTGATGTTCTGGTTCCAACTGAAATAACTGACATCATATAGTGCTGTTCACAGATAAGACTGTAATAGAGTCTATTTACCTTCCAGCTGCTAATTGTGAAGTACTGCTTTCATGTAGAAAGCCAGAAATACAGCTGGCAATTCAGCTAAATCACTAGTTTATGTTTCTGAAAACATGGCACTTAAGCCTTGATCCAGGCTGTASTCTGATATTTTCCGGGTTTAAACACAGTCCTTCCAATCCCAAATGCTAGTAATTAAAATTATAATCATACAAAGTCTAGGATTGGGAAAATGAATTTAATACAGCAACCATATATTTGTGTGGATCGTTATGTGTACAGTCATTAGCAAGCATGTGCAATACAATTTGTAGAATAAATATATTTAAATATGAAGAAAATGTATGTGAGTATTATGTCAAACCCAGGGAAAAAAGTATTGTTCTTTCCCAAGTTAACCAAAATATGCGTGTGCACAAGAGAGCTGAAGTACCCAACAGTCACATGTCAAATAAATTCARTTTCCTCAATCTCATTTTTCAAATGAGGACTCTCAAAGCTTGTAGTCTGTATGTTGCTTTGGGGAAATTTCAGTAATTAAATAGCTATATACGAGCCAAAACACCTCCTTCTGTCACCTCCTTATGAAGCTCTTTCCAGGGYCCTTCCGAACCACTCACTGTTTCACCTGCAAGCAAATGGAAGCTCAGCAGACACCTGCAGAGACTGAATTACAAGGGGGAGCAGTGATGGATTGAATTTCATCAAGAGCATGGAATCAGGAAGTGCTGGGCACCCGAGTAGGTAAATGAACAGTGACAGAGGGTGAAATGGGAGGAAAAGCACAGGGAGATGTATTGTACAAACCATCCCAACACTGGACCAAGAACTTTGAAACCCTCCTTGCRAAGGCCACTATGAAGAGTTTTGCCAGCAGGCCAGAAGCATGGTCAACTTATTTGTGATGTCCAAAGAAAGCTGAGCAAGAATGCTTTTCCAGAAACAAACAAAAAAARCAGCAAAATTAATCAGTCCAAAATTGTTTAAATTCTAATTTGAGCACACTTTCTTGTACATTGGAGGGATATGAATTTCCAGCAAAAAGTTGTAAGGGCACTTAGCCAAATGACAAAGAAGCAACTTTCCAATGTCTACAGCACCTGAACTGACCTTGGGATGTTTGTCCCCAGTGCCCAGAGCGCCAGGTTTTCCCCTAAGCAAGCCAAGTTTTTTCCCACTGGGATTGGTCTAGGGTGCACATGAACAGGAAGGTGAAACAGGGTCTCTCACAGCTCCTGGCGCACAGAGTCCACCCTCTCCCTGGGCAGTGGGTTTGCCATGATCTGCACAATGGAAAACCTTTCCGACAGGAAAGAGGAAGCCGGTCCCCTAGCMTAGCTGGTCACTGCAGGAGCCCATGTGGGAGCAGGACGCCGAAGTTCAAACTCAAGCTGTGAAGGAAGCTTGGCAAGGATCTGAACCCACATTTCCTGTATCCAGGGTGGGTGTCCCATCCCTGTGCCTATTTCATCCTGGGCATAAGAGCCTCCTAGGCRGAGACAAATAATGTGGGGAAATTAGTGCTTTCCTGGGGAAAAGAAAGAGGAAAAAAAGTAGAAGAATACCTATATATCTGTATCAAAGCTGATGAATCAGCACTTCCCGAGCAGGAAAACGTCTCGTCGGAGCAGCCCCGCCAGCTCTCCTCCCGGGCAGCCTCAGGCAGCGAGGCCGCTCCCGTGGGCTCAGCGGCGCGGAGCAGACCGAGCCCCCCGCCACTCGCCAAGGGCAGCGTGGCTGGGCGAGCGGGCGCGCCGCTAGCCGCAGGAACGCGGGACCCGACGGCTGTCCCACGGGTAGCTCGGCTTTTCCCTTCCCCACCCGGTTTTTTTTCTCGCTGCTCGCCTGCCGCCAGCYCCTTTCTACAGAGAGCCGTCCCCGTGGGAGTGGGAGCAGCCCACGGCCGGACGCCCTGTCCCGGAGAGAACGCAGGAGCCCCGTGTGGGACACAGGGAGCTCGTGCGTGGAAAGGCTGCGGAACCGCCGGTCCGCCCCTCTCCGCGGGGTATCCCTGCAGATCGGCGGCCTTACAGAGCGATGAGCCCACGCGGGACTCGCATTTGCCCGGCCACCACGCACCCCTGMTCCCAGGTGACCAGCCACGCAACGCTGGGACGCACTGTCTATCCACAGCGCTCCGGCCCACCGAGACTGGCTCTTGGCTCAAAGTAAAATAAAACTCATTTAAGAACATCAAATCTGCAGTRATCCATCCCGGTACACTCAGCATTGCGGGATGCAGGCACCCGAGAGCAGCTCCATCCCACTCTCCAGCAAGACCCCCGGGCCACCCCCGCAGGCAGCGCCCGCGGATGCTCCGCCGACCTGCTCGGGCTGGAGACAGAGGGACTTGGATTTTTGCGATCAAAACGCACACCTCTGCCGTTTCAGGGACAGAACTGGGACACTCGAAAACAAAATACGAAGGACAGAAGCGGGCCCTRCAGCCAAGACATGCTCTCTTTCTGTCTTTCCGTGATGCACCGGTTTGGACAACTCCCGATGATGTGGAGCGGTCACCTGTGCGTGGGAGAAGCTCGCCTCCACTCCACCACTGCCTTCTCTGGGGTAGGAGAAGCCCTAAAGCTCCGCACCGCCGGACCCGCCGGGCACGCCGACAGGGATACAGAGGATAACAACTGCTCAGGGATGAGGCGTTTCGCCGCTCCCTGAAAAGCGAAGATCATTTCCCCGGTACTGCCCGGAGGAGAGGGGCKAAGGAAAGGCAGGTGCCCGCCGGCTCCAGGCGACAAGCGGGAGCGGCGGGACCGGTCAGGGGCGCAGCCAACGGGGAACATCACTGAGAACCCGTAGCGGAGAGCTCCGCGCAGAGACGGGTCTGAYTGGCGGCAGCGCGTCCCGGAGGTCCCTTACCTGCGAGCAGGAGGGCGGCTCCCAGCAGCACTGAGAGCAGCTGGCGGGGCATGGTCCTGCCTGCGGGARCGCAGGGCTTTTTCCCTGACGACGGCAGCGAGGCAGGGTCAGAGCCGCCGGCTGGGGTCCGACCGGCTCTCCTCGGTCCCGGGCGCTTCTCGCGGTGGCGGAGATAACGGCACAGCACGGCGCGGAATCCGCATCCAGCAGCCCCCGAGTCCTACCCACCCRCCCCGGTCCGGCCCGACCCGACCTGCGGAAATGGAGTATCCGCTGCGGGCCGCTGTGCCAGCTTCACCTCCTGCGGGCATCAGATACCCGCCAGACCCAGCCTCGCTGATTTATAACTTCTCCACCCCTCGCTGTGCACCCCTCCGCCCCCCCCGCCCACATCCTCCGCCGGGAGCACGCCCTCCCCGGGACCCGTCCCCCCACGTCCGTCGGCGGGCACGCTGTCGCTGCCCCGCGGGTCTCCCGGTCCCGGCCGCCCCCCAGGGAGTCCGGCCGTGCCGTCCCGCCGGAGCCCGGCGCTGGGCTGCTTCCAGGCCCCGCGGCCGCAGCGCTGCAGGGGCGGGCAGCGGGACTCGTCGCCCGCACGTCGCCAGGCTTCCCCGCGGAGGGCGTGCAGCAGACTCGCGATCCCTGGACCAAACGCTGAGCGGTGGGGTCCCCATTCCGCCGAGTCCCTCTCTGGTTCGCGGGAGAACCCCGACAGCTCCGCGTCCCGTCACTGGCTGCTAAGCCAGGTGCCGGCTCGGGCCGGGGCCATACAGCCGTTCCACCCGGCTGCCGGGCGGGATGCTCGGAACACCCAAAAGCGCTGCCAGTGCCTCAGGGGGCCGGGGCTCCGCTCCCCGCCTTCCCCGCGGAGAAGGGCAGGCAGCCCTGCGAGGGACGTGATCCAGATCAGCAGGGTCCCCAGCCAGCAGCACTGAGAGCGCTCAGAGCAGGGAAGCCAGGAAGGGGCAGCACCGGCTAAGCATGCTTAGGGAATCTGCCCTGCCAGTGCTCCTGCTGGCATTTACTGCCCTGTAAYATCCAGGGAAGCACTGGAAATACAGTTCTCCTCCCTCTGCACACACCTCACCTTTCCCATACATATTTTATGAAAATCAGCAGGGATCCTGTGACAGCAAAACTCAAGGCCTGTGTTTCCACCTTTTCCCTGTGTAACCACAGAAAGGCTGTTAGGTGAGTCAGGTCTTTGGTTTGACCCAGTATGGCCCTTCCTATATTTTTATGCTGTGAAATAAGCACAGGAGTGTCTGCATGGTGCAGSTAAATATCATCCCCATTTTACAGAGAAGGAAATGGGGGTGCATAGAGAGGTTAGGCAGCTAGTCCAAGGTCATAGGAAGCTGGTGACAGGAGATACAAATAGAACTCAGACCTCCTGTGTCCCACCAGACCATCCTGTGCAAGAAAAAAAAAAAAAAATAAGAAGTTGGTTTTGTTTTTAACTTGAGAACTGTTTAGCTTTAAAGTCTGTGAGAATATTTCCTGCACGCGTCTGTCCTACTCCTATTCATAAGCTACACCCTCAGCTACAAATTTAAGTCTGCTTTTTCTAATCTTCCTGCCCCCAGCTGAGACCTTGAAAATAAAATAGCTATGGATACCTTCCCCCTCAGCTGCTCACACCATGTGGGGAAGAACCCAGAGGTTTCTTTCCCGAAGAGGATGACTCACACAAAATCACCTCCTCCACTGGAGAGGACAGCAGCTGGGAAAACAGCCAGGGAGGACAGACCAGCAAGAGCTGGGAGGGACACTGGGCATTCTGACAGCTTAGACCCCCTAGGAGGAAGGCCCCCTATGGAAGGACCTCAYAGAACAGTTTGTGCCTGTCTTTGGCCAACCCAGTGCTGAGTACGTGCTGAGTCTGAGATGAAGCAGACCCCATCACGAGCCCAGCGGCTGTGCCACACCAGTTCTTCCCCATCCTCTTCACATTTCCTACGTCACAGCTGCATTCACTCTTGGCTCTCCAAAGACTACCTTATTTTGGCAAGTTTCTTCGTTCTTCAACAGATGTCATAAACTCCCGATCCACTCAAGTAGCTGAGGACCAGAGAGGCCAAACCTTAAGATGTGCTCCTAATCTCTCTTCATTCTTTTATATGCAAAAGTCAGGGAGAGATGAGATGTGGAGCTTGTAGACTGAAAAGACCCCAGTAGTAAGATAGAGGGAAGAAGGAAGAAGCAGATATTCCTATAAAGCAGAATGAAAATAGGACGCTTGTGCCTGGAACTGGATGAAACAGTCTAAACACCTAAGTTGAAACATCCAGACAGATGGACAATGCATGTGTGAAGAGGAGGGTTGTGTGGAATTGCAGATTTTTGTGTACTACAGTCATGCAATTCACAACACTTAGTAGGGTGCAAAATAACTTTGAAGAGTAGTTTAGGTGCTTTAGCTGGACAAACACTAAGGAGAGAATCATAGATCTGTCCCAGGCAAAAATCTATCCTGCAGGCAACATGATCTCTTCAAACCAGAATCTTAGGCCTTGGTCTGATGCTAAGTAGTGAGTGGTGAAGACAAATTTGTTCGTGGAATTCAACCATTACTYGCTGAGGTGAACAGCCCTGGTGCAAGCACATTTCACAGCAGAGAAGGGGATCATGGAGAACAGAGTGAGTTTCTAGAGCCAGGGAAAACCAAAGAGAGGGTTGAGGCCCAAATGGAGCTGGCAGCTTGCACAAGAGAGGTTGACTCAGCGTGGGACAGAGCCAGGAGTGACACTGGCTGCGCCCACTCTCTCATAGAGAGGCCCTGGGGAGYGCGAGAATGAATCTGGGGAAGTCCCACTTGACTGGAAGCTGGCAAATGTCCTAGGCTTCTAGAAGCACAAGAAGGATGACCCTGATAACCACAGGTCTGTCAGGTGTTGCTGGAGAGCAGTGACACAGGAAAGCTCAATGGCAATTTGAATAAAAGTCTGCAGTGTGACTCATGTTAGTGACTTGTGTCAGTGAGTCCTGGCAGCCAGGAGGCCAAACACATCCTGGGCAGGYATCGGGCACAGCATTGCCAGCCGGGCAAGGGAYGGGATTGTCCTGCTCTGCTCGGCACTGGGGCGGCCTCACCTTGAGTGCTGGGCCAGGTTTGGGTGCCACAATATAGCAAGGACATCAAACTATTAGAGTGTGTCTAGAGGAGTGTGACCAAGATGGTGAATGTCCTCAAAGCAAGACTTAGGAGGAGCAGCTCGAGTGACTTTTTTGTTCAGCCTAGAGAAGAGGAGAATGAGGGGAGACCTCATTGTGGTCTATAGCTTCTTTACAAAGGGAAGAGGAGGGGCAGGAGTTTATATCTTCTTTTTGGTGACCAGTAATAGGCCCCATGGGAATAACAAAAGCTGGGTCRGGAGAGGTTTTGTACAGATATTAGGAAAAGGTTTTTCACTCAGAGGGTGACCCGTCACTGCAATAGCTTCCCCACTGTACCAAACCTGCCAGAGTTCAAGAAGTGTTTGAACAAATCTCTCAGGCACATGGTGTGATTCTTGAGGTAACCTGTGCAWGGCCAGGAGTTGGATTTGATGATTCTTGTGGGTCCCTTCCAACTCAGAATATTCTATGATTTCTTGTTTCTATGAATAACAGATACGTAACAGTTGTTATGTTCCCTTCAGCTCTGAAATGTGGGAAATTTCATTTTTCTAACATTTGTTAGAAATAYTATTACTAAATACTAGAAAGGAAAACAGCCAAATTTAGCAGCTGAGAGTAAGCCCTCTTTGAAACATTTCAGGCAAACATTCCTGCAAGRCTGATCATCTGCTCAATCTCCAGCACTATAGAAGCTGAAAAGGAGAGGAGACACAGCCTTCACAGTAGAAAACATTTGTTTGCAGTGTTCACTTGCAATCCAGCAGTACCTTGTATTGCTGAATTTTACTCTGCTCTGAAGGAAGATCAGAGTAAGGCTTTTGCTTGAATTAAAAGCAAACAAAAAGCTTTGCTTCCAAAAGTAAGGCTTTTGCTTGAACAACTCTCACATTTGACAATAAAATTATCAAGCTATCAGGCAGCAAAAGCACCAACTCTCTGATATGCATCTCTTGCCCCTTCCTGGCCAACAAGGCTCATTGTAACAAGAYAGAAAATAAGGAGTAGGAAATCTGATTGAGAAAGTGAGTAATGAAGGCACTCACATCTTAGGTCCATGCTGCACAGCAGACTACCATGACAAAGGAACAAAGACACTGCCCTGAGCACACAGGACTTTTGATAGCTGAAGACTCAACCAGGACATTGACCCCTGTCCGCTCTCTGTCTCTTGCATGTCTGGCTTCAGGAGTTCAGTGGAGTGGTAATTCCCTATGGATATGACTTTGTCAAGTCACTGGGACACATTCTGAAGTTGTGTTTTCTGCTCCCCAATGGAAACGGGGCACTTTGAATATCCTGAGTCAAGGCTTTAGCCAAATCTTCCAGGAGGAATTGCTTAGACATTTCCTGTGGACCTGGCAAATATAATCTCATTCACACCAGAAGCTGATATCCTCCCAATGTGACCTGATTMTTTCTAGTCATGGAAACAATTTCTTATTTGCCCCGATGCTCAAAATAGTTCTGTGTGGCACTGGTTCCAATGTTCAGAGCATTATACAAAAGGCCACCACCAGTACCTGCAGGAACAGATGCCTGCCCACAGGAGATTGCATGGGTCAGAGTTACAGCTGAGGGACATCATGATGTCTGTTGTACTCCCAGCAGAGGAGTAGACACCTCACAGGAGCAGACTAGACTGTCTTGAGATGGTCCCAAGCTCTCGTTGTTGGGAGAGAAGGAAAGGTGTCAAAGCAGAGCTGACTTCATCTTCCTCTGCAGATCCTCTGCAGAATCTGCATCTGCCAGCTGACTTCATACAAGATGACTGGGTGCTCACTRGATTGAAAATTTAATCAGGGCACCGTTTCAGTTGATCACCTGAAAACACTAAAATTTTTGCAGAATCAGTGTGAAGGGTTCCAGTGCTCTCTGTCTACCATCCTCCATTCCCATAGTCCCTTGTCAGTTCCACTGGCCCAGCTATTTCTAAGGCTTAGAACTCTCTCTGGGCCTCAATTTAAAATAGTTTGATGAAATCATCCAGGATGTAACTTGCATGCTTTCTATGAAGAGCCACTTATAGCCTGGGTCATTTCACTGGTACAGCGTAGAGCACATCATACAATAGGATATGCAGTGGACTGTGAGAGCTAGAAAAGTAATCTATCTTTTCATACTGATCTAGCTACTGGGGAGGCTGTAAGCTAGAGCAAGATGTGAGGTGAGATGGACTGGGTCTGCTCTATCCAAGACTTTCCTCTGA